AGAGTGAATGGGAGAAAATCTCTACCGACTCAGTACTGGGTGCCGAGCCCAACGTGGGGCTCAATCCCACCATCCCAAGATCACGACCCAAGCCCAAACGGAGAGTCATAGCTCAACCAACTGAGACACCCAGGCACTCCAAAGCTTGTTTTTTTGAAATATGAACGATCTCGGGGCACCTGGGGAGCTCCGTCGGTGAAGCGTCTGCCTTCGGCTCAGGACATGGTCCCAGGGTTCTGGGATCAAGTCCCACATTGGGCTCCCTGCTCAGCAGGGAACGTGCTTCTCCCTCTCCCTGTGCCCCTGCCCCCTGCTCATGTGCTCTCTCTCCCTCTCTTTCTTTCTCTCAACTAGATAAAATCTTTCACTAAAAAAAAAAAAAAAAGAGGGGCCCTGGGTGGCTCAGTGGGTTAAAGCTTCTGCCTTGGGCTCAGGTCATGATCCTGGAGTCCTGGGATCGAACCCCGCATAGGGCTCTCTGCTCAGCGGGGAGCCTGCTTCCTCCTCTCTCTCTCTCTCTCTCTGCCTACTTGTCTATCAAATAAATAAATAAAATCTTCAAAAAAAAAAAGGATCTCGGGAATACCTTCTGACATTTCCAGATCAATTCAGGACCACGCGGCTCCTGCATCTCTTCGGTCTGATACCTGCTCCCCTTTCTCCCGTGCTCTACTTCCTGGTTCACCTGGGGAGCTTTTAAAACTCGCAGTTCTGGAGGCTGGTCCCAAACCAGCCGAATGGGAAGGATCCCCCAGGTGACTCACTCAGCAGCCAGGCTTGGCTCAGAAGAGCCAGCATGGAGTGCTGCCCAGGGGCCGGGTGGGAATGCAGACAGAGAAATGCTGACCGGCCCGTCCCTTTGGGAGTGGAGGTTTGCAGGGTGAGGAGCGGGTGTCATTGGAGGGAGCCGAGGAAAGGAGCCCAAGCAGCTCTTGCACCCAGTGCGGCTCTAAGGGGAGGGAGATAAGGGCCGGTAACCGGCAGAAGTGGGATGAAGATGGGTTTAAAAAAAGAGAAGTGGGGGCTGCAAGCGTGTTTGTAAGTTTCTGAGAAGGAAGCAGGCGGCAGGCAGAAAATGAAGCTACCGGAGAATAAAGAGATGAGCTGACGGGCTCTCAGCGGCCTCGGTGGCCTCCTCTTGCTGAGTGCGGGAGACGCTCAGATAGAGAAGGAGCCCCGGACTGAGTCTGTAAAGTCGAGGGCAAGGACCAGACCTTCCTCCGTCTTTCTCTTCCAGTAGCCGACACCGTGCCTGACACCGAGCAGTCATTACATGGGGAAAATGTAGATGCAAACGTAGAAACCGAAGACAGTACAAACCAGCCGGGCTCCAAGTACGCTCTGACCCTTGCGCAGGGCCTCCCAGCTCAGAACTGTTTTTATCATGGTTCTAAAGTGTTGTCTTTTTCACTTTTGTTCGGTTCTATGTGGGGGTAGAATTTTCCAGAGGCTTCCAAACAGACTGGATGCAGAAGCCTATAGGAGAACCCAGCTGCCCTCCATTAAGCCAGGAAAAGAGACTCGAAAAAATGCAAAATAACCGTTCTTCTCGCTTTTTGAATAGATTAGTTTTCATTAAAATGTTATTTTATGTTGTTGTATAATGGGTTTATTGCATTATTTTTAAATGCATTGTTACATATTGTTAAAACGTCTGTTTTAACCCCTAATTTGGTAACTACTAATAGATATGATCTATATAAATGAAAACTCCTTGGGGTCCTCAGCCTTTAAGTAATCTCTATATCCTACGTGGGACTTGAACTCATGACCCTGATATCAAGACCTGAGCTGAGATCAAGAGTGGGATACTTAACCCACTGAGCCACCCAGGGGCCCCATGGGGGAGTCCCCAATTTTCAAAGGGTCCTGAGACCCAAAATTTGAGGATTGTTGGTGTAAGAGGAGCTCAGAACTAGCAGAGAGAGCTGGTGAACAGCCAACACACGGGTGACAATCTTCCCAGCCATGCAGCACGTACTTCTGGAAGGATTCCCTGGTTGGCTCCTTTGACAGGACGTAAGAGCCACGCTCACTGTCTGCTGTCCAGGACAGTTCTTTTATTTTTTTTTTAAGCTTTTATTTATTTATTTATTTGACAGAGAGAGAGAGAGAAAGAGAGATCGATCATAAGTAGGCAGAGAGGAAGGCAGAGAGAGGGGGAAGCAGGCTCCCTGCTGAGCAGAGAGCCCCATGTGGGGCTCGATCCCAGGACCCAAGATCATGACCTGAGCCAAAGGCAGAGGATTAACCCACTGAGCCACCCAGGCGCCCCCATGACAGTTCTTGGTAAGGAGGTCTGCTCTTTCCAAGGAGGATGGGCCAGCCTCACTTGTAGGCCCTGGTTTTTCTGAGTGGCCCAGGAAGTGCGTGGCTGGGGGCCTCAGTGCATGGAGGGGGAAGGGGACAGTTTGAAGAGGGTGTGGGAGTGTTGCTGCAGGGGCGTGAGGGGTCCACCTTCTCCCCCTGTCTTCCTCCCCCTGCTCACCCGTGCAATGGGAAGTGGCTTCTTTCTTAGAGAAGCTTCTGGAAGGATAAAAAGACTTTCTAATCCTGCTCCCTGAGAGGCCTGCCCCATAGGGTCTGTCTTCCTTCCCTCTCTCTCTCTCTCTCTCTTCCTTTTCTTCCTTCCTTCCCTTTCCTCCTTCCTTCCTCTCTCTTTCTTTCATGTTAGTCACCACACGTACATCATTGGTTTTTGATGTCGTGTTCCATGATTCACTGTTTGCGTGTGACACCCAGTGCTCCCTGCAATCTGTGCCCTCCCTAACCCCCACCACCGGGCTCACCCATCTCCCTGCCCCCCTCAGAGAGAACACCTGGCAGGTGAAATGATTGTTTCCCAGACCCAGACAGTGCCATTGCTCTGAGGGGTTAAGAACCACCATCCACGAACCCATTCATAAAACAAAGACCGCCAAGGGGACTGTCATCCGAGGCTGTCGCTTCAGCCCACGTTCTTTTCTGACGAGAGAGCTCTCCTTCCATTAAAACTGCATGAGCTCCTCTGCGACTAGACTTTAATGCATCCGTTTTCCCGTAAACCTAAACTAGCCCTTTCAAAATGAAAAGTTCACAAAGACTCATCACACTGGGTGGAGTCAGGAGCGCCGTGAAGGACAAACCTTAATTAGACTTGATTTTTTAAATTTTCCCTCGTGGTTTTTAATTATTAGAGCAAATGTCTCTGATGTTGAACTCCACGTCAGGGAGCCCCAATGCCAAGGCCCTTAATAAATTCCATGCGCTTTTTACAAGGTTATGTTCTTCCGAGAACTGTCTGCACGTCTTTCCGAACCCCTCAAGACTGGACACTAAGGAGTATAAATAATCATTCTTTAAAAATTATACTTCCTCTACAACCTTGAATTTGAAATGTGAATATATGAATATAATAGGTCTGGAATTACTATGCAGATTTATGGGGATATCAATTTAGGTTATATCACAAGCCCAACTAGGCCTTTCATTTTGAGGCTGGGGATTTGTTAAAGCTGGGATAGTTTGGGGAAAACTTGATTCTCACAGACGCGACTGAAGCTCTCTGACATGGGGGTCCTTTGCAGAGTTAAACCTGATTCTGAAATTGAGAAGACAGGAATAAAAATCAAATCTTGAACAGAAGTAGCTGGAAATTACAGGGAGGAGTGAAGCTTTGCTCCAACCTTCCCACTGTTTCGAAGATGGGTTTGTTTGTTTTTTTAAAACAGCCAGCATAATTCAGCTGGAGGAGGTAGAGAGATTTTTCTGCTCCTTGTTTCAGTAGAAATCGATGGGCTTTAGCAGGTGCAGCTGTCCCCCCCTACGTTTAGTATCTCAAATAAAATCACCCTCCTTGTTTGCACTACTGATACTTCTTTGGTCTTCGTGTCCGCGGCTAAACAAGTACTAATTAGATAATCCGCCGAGGGCTGGCGGAGGGGGGAGGAGACGGAGGGAAGGCAACGGCCCAGACTTGGCCGCCCTGATTTGTGCATCGTGACTGCGAGTTGCTCGGTGGACAGGGAGTCCTGGGGGAGCTGAAGGAGCAGCTCCGGGCAGCTTCTCATCTGCATTACGGACGAGCCTGGGGAGGAGAAGCCCAAGTTCAAAGCCAGCGGCGGACACCACCTCCCAGGCGGTTAGGACCGGCGCCTGGGGGAGCCGAGGCCCCCTCCCCCTCCCCCCAAGATTTCTAGGGAGAGGTCTCGAAAGCTCTCGCGCTCTCCCTGCCCACCCCCAACCCACCCCCCACCAGCCGCTAGGGGCCGAAGTGGGGAGAGGGGAGAAGAAATGAGCAGGATCCGGGGTGGGGGCGGGGGTTCAGCGCACTAGAAATGCCCAGAGACGCCGCCAGACTCCGGTGGGTGTAAGTGCGGCAGGGATGAACTTAGCGAGGGCAGGCGCTGACTCCCGAAGATGCTCGCGGCTCTCTGACGATTCTCTCTTCTCCTCTCTGACCCTCAGGTCACCCCCCACCGCTGCGGGGCTCCCTCGCGCGCGGGGCCACAGGGCCAGTTCAGGCCCTCGCTGCCCCTTTAAGGGTTCCCGAAACTTTCCCCCTGGTATCAGATGAGCCTCGTCACATCCGTTGGCCGTAGCAGCGGGGCGCGTTCCGAGGAAATTCAGGACTCGAGTTTCCCGGGAAGAGGCGCGGCCCGACACGAGCGAGAGCGGGTCGGGCGCGCGGGGTGCGTTCCGGCGGACCCGGCGCTCGGCTGTGACCTTGGCCGCGGGGGAGGGGCCCGGCCCCTGCGGGGCAGCCGCCGCCCGCCAGAGGGGGCAGCGGCGACCAACTTGCTCAAGTTGGCGGCGCGGGCTGGGGCGGCTCCGGCTCCGGCGCCTCCTCCCGCTTCCCCGGTCCTCCTCCCGCGGCGCTCCTCCCAGCGGCCGCCGCCCGCCCGGTGCGCGCCCAGCCCTGCCCGCAGCCCCGCGCCGAGCCGCCGCGCCGCCGCCACCGCCGCCACCAGGCCGGACGGGACGGGCCGGGCCGGGCGCGCCCCCCGGGCCCCGCAGCGGGCATGGGCGCGCAGGCCCGGGCGCTGCTGCTGCCGCTGCTGGCCCAGTGGCTCCTGCGCGCAGCCCCGGCGCCGGCCCCCGCACCCCTCACGCTGCCCCTCCGCGTGGCCGCGCCCACCCCCGGGTCCGGGACCCCCGCCGCGCCCCGCGCTGCGCCCCAAGCCGACGGCCTGGCGCTCGCCCTGGAGCCCGCTGGCGGCGCAGCTAACTTCTTGGCCATGGTGGACAACCTGCAGGGGGACTCCGGCCGTGGCTACTACCTGGAGATGCTGATCGGAACCCCCCCGCAGAAGGTAGGTTGGCTGGCTCTCGCTCGCCCAGCGGACCCGCGCCCCACCACCCCTGCGGTCCCCCAGGCTGCAGCCGCGGGTTTTCCGGGGTTCGGGGGGGAGCGCCTAGCGGAGCGTGCGCGCGGTTTAGCTTCGCCCAGACCACATTTCGGTAGAGCAAAGTGGGGGCACGCCGGGGGGCCCCTGCGCGCCAGGAGCTGGGCGCGCGCCCTGGGGACGTCCTGCCCCGGGCTCAGCCGAGGGTGTGCGCGAGTGTTTCAGAACTTGTTAGTCCTCCCCTCCGAGCGGCGGGGCGGCGAGCGCCTCCAACGGGCAGCCCTTCTGGCGAGCGGGGAGCCGGCACCGTGGGCCTCGGGCGCGATGCTGTGGCTCCTGGGGGCTCACCTTGGATGCCCGATCTCCTCCCCGCCCTCCCACCCCTTTGCTGTCTCATTGCTACGGGGGCTGGTGGCCGGCTCCGGAGGCGCAGTGCCTGGAGTGGGATCTGTGCGCGAGCCCCGCCGAGCAGCCCAGTACGCGGAGGCTCGCTGCCTGCGGGCGGAGGGGGCCGCGTGGCCGCCGCGCGGCTCTGCTCTCCCAGAGTTGGCTCGTCGGCTTCTTCCCGCCCGCCCAGCCGCCCAGCCTCTCTGCACCGAGCCAGCGTCTGCACACGTGTGTGTGCAATGTACTAAATGCGGGCCAGCTCCTGCGGAAAAATCCAGGCTGAGTAAGGCTTCCGGGGACCGAGTGGCCTCCCGATGACCAAATAAAAATAAAACCCAGCAGCCTTCTTTTTATTTTAATCTGATTTTATTTATTAGCACTTCTTGTAGCAAGAAACGAATGCCCCCCCTCACCCCCCACCCCCGGCTCAATAATCTTAAAAGAAACAATTACCGAAGTCGATTTGGCCCTCCCTCTTTCCACGTTTACCTGATCTAAGTGTGATTTGAAGTCAGGTTTTTCTTATCAATTGAGTACAGTCCCAAGATACTTTGTTTTTATTTTTAACATTGTCATTTGAGTTTCAATTCAGCTATGATTCCCCCATAAATAGAACATACTCATGACTTTGGTGTAATTCTAATTAAATTATTCAAGACTTGCTTAAGAGGAAAGACGCGCCATGCTAATTCTTTTTAAAAAAAGAAACTCTACTGAGTAACTTCTATACTTGCTTAATTAGTCTTTTAAAAAAAAACCCTCCAGAAATGTGTTCTGCTCAAAACTTGAACTCTGGTTGCCTTTCCTCTAAGCCTTGCCTTCGGTCTTCCGGGGTGGATGGTGGGCAGGGAAGGGGAGGGTGTCAGCTGAGGGAGCTTAACTTGACCGCAGGGGTGTGGTTGCTGGTCAGAGCCACCACGTGAAGACACGCGCTCCTGGTGAGAACCTTGTACTTTCTGCCTTCCCAGGATTTCCAAGTATTTTGTGGATGACCCTCTTTTTTGTGGCCCAAGGATGATCTTTCGGAACAGGAAATGACTCTCCGTTTATGAAATATGTGCTTTGTGGGGAAGTGTTCTTGTTAATTTTTGAGTGGAAGGGAAGTCTTTGTACTAAAGTAAAGATTTGGGCACTTTGGGTACTGTGATAAAAGGGGTCCTTGATATCTCCCTCCAGAGAATACGGGAAGGGGAGGAAAAAAGTCTCAAGAGAAGGGGGCGGGGAATGGGAAGATTTGTCTTGGGCTCTCAAAAAAAAAAAAAGCCTTTCATAAATAATACCTTTTCTTTATTAATTAATCCAGTGACCTTTATTTTATTATTTTTTTAAAGTAAGCTCTAGGCCCACCGTGGGGCTTGAACTCCCCTCCTGGAGATTGAGAGTCACGTGGTCTATGGGCTGAGCCAGCCAGGCATCCCGGTGACCTTTACTTTAAAATGATGAAGTTTAATTAACAGGATCGTATTGCATGCCTAGTGCTTGTATCTTTACCTTGGCCAAGGAGGTAGTTCATTCAAGGTTATTTCTCAGTTAAAGATGAGCATGTTTCCAGGGAAGGCTGTTTTTAACAATCCAGATTTAATTTTTACATTTGACGGGGAATGAAATATTCTGTTCCTCCTTCTTGGCCTGATTTAGTAATAAGTTGTTTTATAGCAAAATCCGTGCGTACGATCTCTCCAAAGGCCTACTATAAACTCTTGGGTACTAGTGACAAGCACATTTCTTCCCTCTCTCCTCCTGAAATGTCTCTGGCCACCAGCAAGGTGTTCGCCGCAGGCCCTGGGGTGACTTCTGAACTCGGAGTGAGGTTTCCTGCTCTATTAACGGCCAGGAGTTATGCATTTATTCTTTGCTGATTCTCCTAAGCCTAAAATAAAACTTGCTTAGGTGGAGAGAAAAATGCAATTGTAAATTCAGGCATTAAATAACCAAGAATTTTTGGAGAGGTAATAGTCCCCCACCGTGTGGAGGGCTCCCCTCGTGCCGAGCACCATGCTGTGTGGGTGTTGTCCTGGGGGCATCCTCGCAACCACCCCATGGTACCCATTTAGGGGTTGGGAAAACAAGCTTGGAGAGGTTGAATGACTGGCCCAGGGAGCAGGACAAGAAAGCGGGAGAGCCAGCAGTGGATTGTGAGTAGTCCATGTGGCTGGACTCCAGAAGCTAGGTGGCTAGACTCCACTCCACTAGACTCCACATACCTGCTGCTCCCTTTCTTCCCTGCTTCCTTTTCTTTTCCCCTTTTTTTCCTTTTTAAGATTATTTATTTGACAGAGAGCACAAGCAGGGGAGCGAGAGGGAGAGGGAGAAGCAGACTCCCCACTGAGCAAGGAGCCCCATGTGGGGCTCGACCCCAGGACCCCGGGATCATGACCTGAGCTGAAGGCAGACGCTCGATCGACAGAGCCACCCCAGCACCCCTATTTTTCCCTTTTTAAACAAAATTTGGCCTTTACCCTATCCAGGGAGAGATCCCTGGACCTTTAAGTCCAAGGTGTTAGGGGCTTAATGGGTGACCAAGGATGGACTCCAGCCCCGTGCTGCCCTGCAGCCCTTCCCTCCCTGCAGGGCAACCTGCTGCATTGTTGGCTACAGGGACACATGGGAGAGGGAGAGGTAAACGGGACCAACGCTGCCCAGACCCCCGCTCTCCTGTGGGAAAGCCCACTGTTGGACATGTGCTCATTCCCTGAATGCTTACACCAAGAACTGGGGGGGTCAGTCGTTCTGCCTGCCACCGCTGAAGACATCACAGGCATGTGCCCCGAAGCCCGTGCGAGAGCAGGGCCACGTTGGCATGGAGATGAGTGCCAGGTGTTCGATACCATCACGTGACTCCTTGTGAACAGTAGAGAACCAGCAGTCGCTTGAACCATGCAATTCGGTCTTATTAATAATAATAATGGTGTTCTAAAGTGATTATAATTATAGCAATTTCCATTATTTTAAAAAAAGGCTTTCACCCTGACGCAATCAATCTGCCTGGAAATGCTAAGGGTCTGCAGCTCTATACCTTGTAATGGCCTCAAAAAGCCCTTAGGGATTTCTGTTGAAAGATTTTCTGTCATCTCCGCTAATACGGAGGAAACAGACGGCAACACGATTTTCGTGTTTAAACATTCTACTGTAAGGAGCTAAGAAATTATTTTGGGGACTCACATTTTAATCATGGCGCATTGGCTTACCACTTCTTAGTACACAATTGTTTGGAAGACTTTGGATTGAAGATATGTGCCAAGTATATGCAATTTAGGAGTTTGTCTTTTTTAGAATAAGCAATCCAGTGTCCCTAAATTACATGAAACTCACTGCAGGCGAGGCTGGAAAAAGGAAGGCGATGGGCACCGAGAATAAACTTGATGGAACACAGCGAGATGGTAAATACTAAGGCCAATGGGACGGGGAGAGATGGCGGGGGTTTGAAGAACAGGAAAGGCAGAGCAAGGATCCCCCCAGCTCCTGTGAGTGGCACGTGGTAGATGGCAACTCTGAGCTTCGTGGAAGAATTCAAGATACAGGTCCTCCTTCAGAAGGTGGAAAGGCCAGGCTGAGGCACCTGCTGAAAGCACCTTAGAGGGACAGTCTGAGAAGTCACTAACAACCGTTCATATTAACAGCTAACCTTTATCTCAGGCTCACTGGATGGTGGGTACCATGCTAAGCGTTTTGCACAGATCACCTCATTTATTCCCTGAACGGCCCTAGGAAGGACGTGGAAGTTGCTCAACTTAATTATCAGACTGAGAGAGCAGAGCACAGAGAGGCCCAGTAATCTGTCGAAGGTCCCCCTGGTGAGTAGCAGAGCTGGGGTGTCCGTCAGGGAGGTCTGCCAGTTCCATCCTGCAGTCCCAGCCCTTCGCTCCTGCTCCCCTTGTGCACTTGGACTTTAAAAAAAAAAAAAAAAAATACCCATTTTCATTCACCTGTGGAGGACTTGGGTGTGGCTGGAAGCATCCCGGATGCTGGTGGCTTTACACTGGTGATGGCAGTGGACAGGTGATCGGACTGTGCTGCCTTTCCCTTATTGGTTGGAGATCTTTTGAGCTTTTAGCCTCCTGCAGCTGCTGTCACAGATCCCACCAAGCAGGTGACTTAAGACAACAGAAGTATATTCTCTTGCAGTCCTGGAGGTCAGTCACCGCGAGGGAGATGCAGCCAGGGCCCTGTCCCTCCCCTGACTCTCGCAGCTTTGGCAGCTGCCCGTAGTCCTCCTCCCTGTTCCATGGCTCCAGGCTGCATCTCCCCAGTCTCTGTGTCTGTCTTCAGATGAAATTCCCACCCCACCTACCCCCGTGTGTAAGTCTCTAGGTCCAAACTGTCTTCTTAAAAGGACACCTGTTATTGCGTTAGGGTTCACCCTGGTCCGTTCTGACCTTATCTCAGCCTCATTACAACTGTAGAGACAGAGATTAGGATTTCAACCAATTTTTTTTTTTTATAATACATTTTAGGGGCACCTGGGTGGCTCAGTTGGTTAAGCGTCTGACTCTTGGTTTCTGGTTTCTGCTTAGATCTTGATCTCAGGGTCATGAGATCAAGCCCCATGTCAGCCTCCGTGCTCAACGCGGAGCCTGCTT